CAGTCGTGCCATTCAGCTCATTCCACCGGCTGAGTAATTTGCCCAGAGTTCAGTGCGCTTTCTCTGCCGCAGCTACACAACGCAGCTTAATGCTAAGCATAGTTATGAATGATGCTATAAAATGTGATTATGAACAAACCGGTCAATGCTGAGATTTAAGGTTTCTGAACTTGTCTCTAGAATATGCTTATGCTAATTCAACTCTTTCTTGAATCACACTGAGTAAAAATGCGTCTATGTATTTGTGATAAACTTGTGCTTGCCTTGGACTACGTTAGTCAAGTTGTCCAAAGCACAGGGAAGTTGTTTGTCCCCTAGCTCTTGTGTTCTCCTCTGCACCCTTTCCAAAGTCCCAAGACTCTCTTTATTATCAACTCATCAGGAACTGAATTAGTTGATTAGTCCTAGAGGTTTAATTAAAATCTAAGGCTAATAGAATAATAGTATTTTAACTAAGAAGCTAAATTGTAGTGGGTTTCTGTCTTTACAGTATGGAGAAGAGTGCAGGACTAAAACATACCCTCCTTCAGGACCAACGTAAGTAATCCGATTAAACTTGTCTAACAAATGACAGAAAAGTAGTGAATTACAAGTCTGAACAGCTTTGGGGTTTTTTAGTAACTTGTTCCAGTTGCAGCTCTAGAAAATGCTTGTCACAGGTGGGAAGCACTTATTTTGTCAGATGTTTTTTCAAAGCCTTCTTCAAATTTAAACTCTGGTGCTTACCTTTCAGGTTCAAAGGGAACGTACCCACATATGTCATAAATCTTGATTTGCCTCCCAGCAAAAGATGGGATAACTTGATGCGTGACAAAAAGACAGAGGTATGAAATGCAGAGCTTGCTTTGAAGCTTAGCAGGTATAAAGCTAGCTCATGGACTTTTATTTTGAAAAAGGTTTGGAAAGGAATACCTGTGCTAAAATTCTCTGAAAGGGATAACATTTCTGCTTGACTTCTTTATTATGATTCTACACTAAAATAATTGCTTGAGTAAAACATTTTTCCTATTCAGCGCTGGAGCTTGCAGCATCCAGTGTAGGGTCACTGATGTTTGGGATGTAGAGGAATAAAAACTGGTGCAGCATAGAGCAGGCTTTCATTTATCAAAGCTCTTTAGTCATGAAGCAGTACAGAATGAAGGGGGAGGAATACACAAAAGGAACAGCCACAGCAAACTGAAATGAAACAGTGGCAGCATCCCTTCTCCTCTGCACATCCCTGCTTCTCTCAAAACACTGCATGAGATGCTGAAGTGAATTTCCTGCCCTTCTCAGGGATGCTGCTTCCATCACTGGTGCTTACAGAGCAGAAACCATTTTTAAAATACTCAGGACTATTTCAGATTATTTAGAACAGCTGTTCTTCTGAAGGTTGCTGGCAATTCAAGTCAGTAATGCTTAGCTTCTCAGAAAAGGCCAGGGATTTTTGCTATATCCCTGCTAACTTTGACCTTTCATCTCTGAAGGCCACACAAATTCTACTAACACTGTATTATTTATTGTAAGTGTTGGAAGCTTCAGGTTCACCTTGAAGTCTGACAGGTTTTATCTCTCATGTACTTTGGAGTTAGATCACACAGAGTGGAACTCTGTTAGTGGCCATTCACATGTCGCAAATGGAAAGCATGTACTTCTGTAAGGAATTTATTGAGTTTTTGGCTTCAAGAACATCGGTGCTTAAGCAAAGAGCTTTTAATTAACATTTTTAAAGACAGAAGAGTGCAGCATATTAAAATCGAAATGATCAACGGAGCAGAAGACAAGGGTGGGTTTTCCTTGTAATTCTTTCTCTCCGGTAGAGGGACACGTCAGAGCTAATCTGAAAAGTTATTTGAATAAAGGTTGAAGAGTGACTCTTCAATGAGGAGCTGGGGGTGGTTTTCTCAGCAAGAACACAACATTTAGCACTTCCCTTAAATACGTATTTTTTCCAACAAAATGGTTTTTTGAAAAACATGAAGGAGTTTTCTTAGTGTTCTAGCAATTATTATGCTCAAAATCTATTCAGTAAAAGCCCTTCTTCTTTTTAGCTGAAGACTGTGGTCCAGAATATTAAAGATATAGCAAATACCTTCTTCCCCAGCGGCAAAGTTGTTGACATAGTGGATAAGAAAATAGTAAGTATTTTCAACTTAATAATTTTATTACTGTATGCTCAACTGCCAGAATTAGAATGCTGCTAAATCTGGCAATTAAGAACTTCACAAGTGATAATTCTTCCAGAACAAAAATGCTGTTTTGAAGAGTTACTCTGAAATTTTGCCTTCTTGCCTACTCTGAACTACTCTGAAACCATCAGACCTAAAAAGCACATGTCTTTTCCTCCTCTAATTTTTTCTAAGATCTTTTCGAGTTTGGATCAGTCCTGCCAGACATATGCTACTTAGAAAACCAGGGCATAGCTGTAGCAAAACACTTCACTGGAATTCTCTTTGCTATGTTCAACTCCTTTTAAACCGTAGAATAAAACCAGGTTTTGAAAACTGTAATAAATATCTGTTTACAGGGACAACTGACCAGGTCTCACCTTAAAAAATAATTTGGTTCTGATTAATAGGCTTGGGCATAGAATCAGCACAGGGGAAGACAGTGTAGCACTAGAGACAGCATAAGGTCAGATCTGTCCCCCATCGTTATTTACACCAGCCTTAGGTCACGCTGGCCGCGCTTCATTTGTATCCCTGTGTGCCTGAGTGGGGCTGACATAGAGGTAGCATCTACAATAGTAATGCCAATGATGTGTGAAAGGTAGGGATTCCTGTAAAGTCAAGCTGAGTTCTAGTTGAGTTTCTAACATGTAAGAGTCCTGCACTCTGTTCTGGCTGCTGCTGCTAACAGTAATTAAGATACTGTGCTAATCTCTGTTGTTCACACATCAGTATTTTGGTAAGTAATAATTTTTACCAAGTATGCACTTGCCACCCTCAAGTTCTGCAGGCTGCAGAGGAATTCAGTACTCAGTATTTGTGAGAAGGGTATACCTATTGGGGAGAGATTTCTTTTAAGTAACAGAATAGCGTTGATTTACACAATGTACAAAACTTTTCCTTTCAGGTTCACCTGACAGCCACACTTCCTTATCCTTTCAATGAAGAACTTAAAGGGATTGCAAATTCATCTGGGATTCCTTTGGGTAATAGTTTCCAACACTTTAACACTGTGAAAAGCCAGACTTATTTAAAATTAGTATGCTTACCAATCTGTGGTATAGTTGCGGTCATCTGTGACTTTAACAAATAAATTATTAATGAAGTAGATAAAGCAGTAAATTGTATGTCAAACTAAATGAAACCAGAAACAGTATTTTGGAGTAGAATGGCAATAAATCACATAAGCCTTTCATCAGGCTGGAAATTCTCTGCAGAGCTATAGCTTCTTGCTCCTGAGTGTTGCGAAATGTAGCGAGTTTCAGTTCCTGTGGGCTAGAATTTGCAGGAATCCTTGATTCTCGTTGGTTCCTATTCAGCTGTGTGTCTGCTGTTGACATACTAAGAAGGCAAGGCTCAGTTTCATGCCATGCTTTCTTTCACTTTTGATCCTTTGCCACATCCTCCTGCCTCGGTTCTGCACCTCCTGAGAAAGAATGAAATGCCAGGTGACAAGTAAATGTTGAATTCTTCCAGAATTGAGACAGAGAAGGTCCACAGACCTGCTTCCTCTGCTTCCCCCGTACAGGAGCAGTATAGCCGGTGCTAGTCAGCTGGTGCAGCTCCTCTGTGGGGAGAGCGGTACATAGAGTACATTTCTTCTTTAAAGTGAATTTTATAGCTTGTTTTGAAGTTTCCAGAGGAGAAGATAGCAATGATTGTCAGTTTTCTGTATAGTAAAGCAGAATAGATCCTTCTGTTTGCCTTTCAGGAAGCTCTTAATTTTGCTGAACCATTCATTTCAATGCTCAACTGAGATTTAAACAGAAATTCTTGAGAAATATCATAGAATGCTGAATTTTGCTGTATGCTTTTTTCTAACCTTTTTTTTTTCCTCTGTTCAAGGCAGAAGTTTCAAACTACTGAACTTTGTTTCTTTTTGTTTTAGGGGAAATTGTTATTTTTAACATCTTTTATGAAATTTTTACTGTATGTACGTCAATAGTGGCAGAAGATAAAACAGGTAATGCAACCCAGAATCTACACAAGAATCTCTTATGCAGGAGAGGGTCCAGGTCAGTTACACAAACCTAGTCCTTCTCAACTGCAGGCAAGAAGGTCTGGTAGAAAAGACTAAAAGCAATAATAATAAAAAAGTATTCTTGAGAAGAGAGTAAGAGGTCACAATTGTCTTACAGGTTAAAAAAAAAAAAAGGGAAAAATACTTTCAAAGATTGAAATAGGTGGTATTTGTTTTTCTAGCGGGAAGAAACGTCAGCCAGACACTTGATACCTTCTCAGTGCCATGAGGGATTCTACTGCAATCTGTTTGGCATCTAGTTCCCAACAGTTGCTTACGAAAATGGATAGCCTGTCCTAAGAAAAAGGACTTGTTCTCTTCCTGAGTTCTGCAGCCCTTGTCTGTACCTGTTCCAGCTTAGGAAATGCCTGAGGGATTCTCAGAGGGCTTACGAACATCTCACTTTGAGAGGAAGCTCAAGGTCATAGCATTGCAGTAAGATAACGTGGAAAGCATCTGAGGCTGAGGTGGACAGCAGTTTACAAGATTACTGGATTTCAATTATGGCAAAACACTTCCCTGATCCAAACCCCTTCACCATTTACTGTGCTTATGAAAAGGGCAACTAGACAGTGGTATTTTCCTTGTTTACTTTCCCAGGTATTTTCCCTGCTTACTCATTTCCCGGTTTTCTAAGCTGAAATTTGTGTCTCTTTCTTTAGAAAATTATATTGATTTAATTTTTTTATTGCTATGCAGGGAAGCTGTACCATGCCAGAAACTTGGATTTTGGACTTTTTCTTGGGTAAGTACCTACACTTTTATTTATTTGTGTTTGTTTTTTTTAAACCCAAAGAAAAAGCTGAACTTAATTTCTGCATGCATTCTGTGAGTCTAAATGATGAATTGGCTGTTGTTAAAACTGTGACGGGTAATTCTGGATTGCATGCTGTGAAAAAAGGGCTAAAACAAAAACAAACAAAAGGGAAGTTCTGCTGATCTTATATCAGACTACTGCAAGTGTGTCAGGAATGACTTTGTAAAACAGTTGTGTTCAGTGTTACTTGGTGTTTTCTCAGCTCCAATTAAAACTGTCAGGAACCAAAGAAAGGTCCATGTAACCTTATCATCTCTGAAGTGTGGTTTGTTATTTAAATGGTGGGGAAGAAGCATCAATTGTAGTGCATGCAAGGAGATGTGGATTGGATTGGGGCTTGGTTTTGTGGTGGTTTTTTCCTCCCAGATTCTTCCCTTAGTTATTGTACTGTGCTCTGCTGGCACTTCCCATCATTGATCACTTTTTGACTCAGAAGCTGTACTCCACCGATCTAACATTATAATTCCTTTGGATATAAACTCTAGTTTGGTCCCCAGCACTGGATTCTTTTCTAGTTCTCGTTTCATACCTTGTGAGCATGTAGTCTTATTATCCCAGTATATTGTGTAATGTCACACATCCAGATGACTTTCAATGCCCAGATGGATTTTAAATGCCCATCTTCATTAAGATTCTTACCTGCCTATCAAAAACTTTAATGTTTTCAACTCTGACTCCACCTGTCCCTTGTTGTGGCTTGTGTTGAACTTCTCCCACTAGTCAGAAATACTGGGAACACGCTCCCTGAAAATTAAAGCAACTGTCAAAGCTGCTCCCAAAACCTGGATTTTTTCCAGAGAATTTAATGGTCTGCTAAGTGTACTTTAGCATCCTACAAGCTGTTCTGGCTTAGCTTACAAACTAGACTGGGGCTTCCCTTAGGGTAGAGCAAATCTGTAGTATGTATGTGGTTTGTTTTCTTTCTTTGAGAGAACCGGATCATTCTGCTGCAGAACAAGCTACACATGCGTTCAGGATACAGTAGGTTTGGTGTCACAGGCAGTACCTGTAGCAGCCTCCTTTTGCCAGCAGGAAAAGAGCGAAGTTACGTGTGTTCAAGACAAACCAGCTGTATTGGTTGTGCTGTTTGATCCTGAGTAGCGCGTATGCTCTTGGTTCAAACAAAACTTGAGCCTTTTCACTGACTGTCGCTGCATTTAGACTTCCTAGTTGTCCCTTGCTGGTGCTGCTCACATAACTGCTGAGCAGTGGTGTTGGCTGACATGACTAAGATCAGAGGCATCACACACAGGCAATCTGTGTGCTGTGAAGGGAAGTTTTAAAAGCTACTGAGGGAGGGAGGTTTCAAATGATGTACTGTCTTCTGCAGGTGGGATGTTAAAAATAATTCCTGGACTTTAACTCGGGAGCTGAAGCCCATAGTGGTGAACTTGGACTTCCAGAGAAACAACAAAACAGTCTTCAAGTCTACAAATTTTGCAGGATACATAGGCATGGTATCTGGAGTCAAACCAGTAAGTATGGGGAGAGGGGATTGTCAGTTTGTTAATAATGCTTCAGACTTCCCTTTAAGGTGTGAGTTTGCTTGCTTTCCTTCTCTGCCTTGGGATAGTTTTTAATAAATGATCTATTGATCACTCTGGTACACAGGATAGCTATTTGAAGAAAGGTTAAAAACCCAATGCTGCGCTCTTCCTTGTAAAAGGAGATTGCCTAAACAAAACACTTATGTTTAGACAATTCTTAAAACCAACATTGAATTCTGAATACAAACAGGAGTGAACACAAAAAGCTCAAGTGGTTGGAGTTTCTTGCTAGCAAAGGGGTACTGCCGTGATCCCGTGCTATTTTAATTCCTTCTCTAATCCTTCTTCAAAAAGGAGTCCTAAATCGCAAGGGGTTTTTATAATTTCTTTTTTAATAGGCACCTGAAATTTGGGGGTTATCTACGTCTTAAAACAGCAGCAGAGAATATGCCAAGGTCTCCAGCTTACCACAGCTCTTCCTTTTCTACATGCCCTGCCTTTATCCTCTGTAATAGGTGGCCCATTTCGTAGTAGAGCTTTTCTGGCATAAATCCCTGCATTGCATCCATTTATTTTTTCTTCTGGTCAAATAAATTGGGAACAGTCCATTTTGAAAATGATCCAGTGTAGCTGAATTCCACTTTCATTCAAAAGAAACACTAGTTGGAGAAGGCTTGGATTTGAGTTTGAATTGCATGTTGAACTGTGTACAGCTGTGTGCCCATGTGAACAGGAATAACATATCGGGGTGTGCTTAGCTCTGAGTCTGAAAAATCTACCTTCAAACTGAAGCAGTAGTCAGAGGTTTGAGAGAGGGTTATATACAGCTGGGGAAGGCAAATTGGTAATTCAGCGATGCAGCAAGGACCAAGAGAAAAATGCCCACAGGCTTGACCTGCTTAGCATAAAAGCGTGGTTTGCTGGATTGTTACACCAGCCAGAAGACTGTGAATTACCATTTCTCTTCCTCAAGCAGTGATAAATTAGGTTCTTCTCTGCATGGGCTTAATCTTGCAGCCCAAAGGGGAAGAGTCTAACGAAGAAGCAGCTCAACAGGCATGTAAATTGCAGTGCTGCCCCTTGTTTGTTACTGGCATCAATGGGCTGGTGATGAATGGAGTTTGACTTGTTCACTGCTTTTCAGGACTTGTTCACTCTGACAATGAATGAGCGTTTCAGTCTCGATGGTGGTTATGTTGGTGAGTAATGCTTGTTTCTCTCACTATTTCTGTACAAGTTTCCCAGACCTTGGGCATACCAGTTACCTTGATAAACAGGCATGCAAATGATGAAAAGATTCCAGATGAATAAGATAAAACACAGATCATTATAAAGGCAGTGAGAGTTAGAACAGCAGGTGTGAACCTGCTGAAAACAAACTCTTGTAACCAGTGCTATTTTGCAGGAATCTTTGAATGGTTTCTTGGTAGAAGAGACGGTATGTGGATGGGCTTTCTTACAAGAACAATACTAGAGAATGCTACAAGGTATTTCCCTCCCACCTCCCCCAATATTCTGCTGCTTTAATCTGCTTTGCTTTCAACTGGCATGAATACTGTAGATGCATACTTGGTATCTAATGATACAGATACCTTCCTAGAAGCCTTTATATTAAATAGTTCCAGTTTTGCTGGTACTCTGGGGGAGGGAGGAGGCATCACATGATCCCTTAGAACTCATCAAGTTGTCTTCTCAGGTATTTTTGTTCTAATGAACCTATTGGTATCTGAATGTGTAACATTCTGCATCAGAACACATCGAAAAGGTTTCTTACAGGAAGTAAACAAACAAAAGCTGTCACGCAGTAAATGAATTAGGTGGGATATGACACAGCAGGTCATTTTATTCCTGGTTTAAATGTACAAAAAGTGCAAAGAGTGCCTCCCAACAACCGTATTTTAAATACAAAAGTGAGTGGAGGAGCTTTGCTTAAATGCATTTCTTCATTGTGGTACAATCTCGTCATAAGTGCATGAAAGGGGAAGCAAGGTGCAACTACTGAACTGTTCCTGGGTCTGTGACACACATTCTTCTATGCTTGAACCATTTATAGTGTTTAATAGTCCAACACTACTTTGTTACCTGCAGTTACCAGGATGCAAAAGACAAACTGGCAAAAACAAGACTGCTGGCTCCAGCTTACTTTATACTGGGTGGAAAAAAATCAGGAGAAGGGTGTGTGATAACTCGTTCCAGGACAGCTACTCTGGATATCTGGGAGTGAGTATGCTTGACCTGACACCTGACTCAGCCTTCCAGAAGAGGATAGGTTCCAACAATAATTGCATCCCATGTTTCTTGTGACTTGTGTTGTCCAAGAACTCACTTTAGCATTGTTGAAAAATTCCACAGCAACCCTAAAAAAAATCTGCCTGTATATAGTATATACTATATATGTACTTACTATATCCTTAGAGAAGCAAAACACAAACATACCCCTCTTTTCCAGCCTTGATATCCAGAAGGGTACATGGTATGTCATAGAAACAAACTACGATCGCTGGAAGCCTCCACTGATCTTGGATAATCGTAGAACGCCTGCAATGAAATGCCTGAATCAGACAACTCAAGAGGTAAACATCCTCCCAATACCTCATCTGGCTGCTCTGAAACTCCCAAGTTACGATACTGATCTGACACTGCCAGGAGCAGTCGGGGCACTTGCAAGCACAGCTGTAATGACAAAACGGTTTTGTGGCGGTTTGTCTGTGCTCCTGGGTTATAAAGTACCAGCTGCTCTTCACACAAGCGTGTTCTAGTTTTAGGCTTTCTCTTCATGTAGGTGGATTTCCTGCAAGCATCTTTTGCAGCTGCATATGCAGGGGGATACACCCAGACATACTTAGAGAGAGATTGTCAGTGTTTCCTGGGCTGTTTTATCACCAGTGAAATTCAAGCACACGCTGGCAGGCAGCAAACACTGGCATTCAAGTGTCCTATGCTGTACTGAGATCTGCTCAAGTTTTTGCAGCCCATGTTCTTCTGGTCTCAAGATGTACAAGTACCATGTACTCTTAAAGCTGTATCATATTATCTAATTGAGCAGTAAAAAAGTTACAGTTCTGAGCATTTACACTTACAGGTTAATATCCTTTACCATCAATGTATTATTTTTTTCAGAACCTCTCCTTACCAGCAATTTATGATGTTCTCTCTACAAAGCCTGTCCTCAATAAGGTAATGCTTCTGTTTTTGCAGAAGGTTTAGTGTGGGAGGCAGACCACTAACTAGTGTATGTCTAAGGAGGAGGTCACAGTGGTACATTCAGAGTTTTTTAGGTGAAAACATGCACATAAAAATGAAACAAATTCCACGTTTACTTTGTAAAAGCAAAAGGTAATTGCTGTTTTCCAGAGGCCCTGCAGCTTTAAAACTCTGAGCAGCCTGAGCCCTTCTCTCATGGCCGGCTCTGGTTTGAGGCAGCATTTGCATTAGAAACATCCTAAGGACCCTTCTAACCGGAATTAACCTGTGATACGTGCCTTTATAAGTAGCATGAAACAGATTAATATACCTCATGGTTTAGGCATACTACATGCACATTTTTCTTGCAGCAGCAGATGTTTTAGTCTGAACTTGAGGTTTTGGTGTTTAGGAGGAAGAAGAAAAAAAGATTAAAAGGGTGGGAAGAGTTTTTGAAAGATGAAGTTCAGTTACTGCATTAAGTGGAAGCAGCACTCTTGGCTGAGCACACAAGCTATGCATACTTGCATATTGTTGACTAAGTAAGATAAATGCTCATGTTAGTTGAACTGTTTATCTAGTACCACAGTTTTTCACTAATTGCTGTAATGAGGCTTTTTCTTTTTCTTTCCCTTTTCTCTTCTTCCTCCCACCTGCCCATTAGCTGACTGTGTGCACAACGCTGATGGAGGTGGATAATGGTCATACAGAGACTTACCTGCGGGAGTGCCCAGATCCCTGTAGTCCTTGGTAGTGCTCTACCTTTCCTATGTTGGAAGCTGCTTGTCAGAGTTGGAGGTCATCCAAGAAAAAATAATTCTGGAAAAAGATTCCTCAGTCTAACTCCTCTCTTCAGAAATCTAATGGCTATATAGAAATGTCAATGAGCTTCTAACAGTGGAGGACCCACTCTGACAGAGGACTTTCTTGCTTTCTGACCAGCAGTTCTGCTGACAAGAAGTGTATGCTAATGAATGTCTGGTTTGATTTCAGCCATTTCTGGCAAATGAGTTCAGCAGCTGGCTCTAGATCTCTTCAGTCTCGGCAGTAGTCTTGGTTTGGTTTGTTGTTGGCTTGTGGGTTTGTTACTTTTTGTTGTTGTTTGGTTGGGTTTTTTTAGATTATGATACTTGTAAAGCACATATGAGTTAAAATGGCACTTACCAAGCATGAAACAGAATTGGGTATAAAAAGGCCATCTGGGAGGGTACAGTTCCGTTATTCATTCCTAAGCACCTAAGATGAGTTGCTAGTGTTATCCAGTGTGAGGATATGTCTAAGATTAACCTGTTATAAAATAATCTACGAAGTGTCATACCTAGTCACAGGAACAAGGTCTTAGGGCAGTATCTAAAATGAGATCTGAGCCAAAAAAAAGTCTTTTCACTAGTGTAAAGATCTTCTGCTGAAGCTCGCTCTTGACCCATTAACAATTTTTTTAATACAGATTATTCTGTTGTCTCAAAAAAATAAATACTAATACAGTAAATATTGTTAAGAACTACTTTCTTTGACCAAAGAACACATGCACTGATTTTGTACGTCAGTGGCAGTCACTGTGCATGTCACATATCACAGCAGAAAAATCTCTGCCATATCCTGCAGTCACATAACAGCAAGATTTAGATCAGGACAGAATGCCCGTATAGTGTGATGTGCAGCTTCTGGGGTATTTGATTCATATAAAGCAGTTAATCCAAGTCAGGTGTTACAGTCTTGTACCATTAAGAGCATATCATATACTTCTGAGGTCGCACCTTAATCTGGTAGGGGGTTGTTCAGGTTTATTTGGAATTAGTTGTGTAACAGCCATAATCAAATTACTTTGTCATTTAAAAATAAGTAAGTTTACTTGCTTAATGAGTCCTGTCCCACTTTAGCATATGTGGAGCAAGGCAGCGTAGACTATTTACAGTCATTAACTAATGAGCTTTTGGTATGTCCCTTGTGCAAGACAATCCACGTTTCCACACTGGAAATTGCTTTACAGTTGCAAAAGCACAGCTAAATCCCATGGATGTCTGTCCAGAGCTGGATGCCTGTGCCTGCTGTTGACTAAAATAAACAAAGCTGTTTAGAAACAAAAAGCCCAGTAACTGTCTTACTGTGTCTGCCTTGATAGAGAAGTGTTGAATGTGATGAATTGTTTATTGATTTAACCTTCAGCTGTCGGCTCTGAAAGCACTTGATCTGAAGGTTTTCTCAATCCAGACAATAGGTCTAATTTGCTAGATAGGTAGAGACATCTGTTTTTAACAGCAGTTTACTGCCCCCTCCTGCTTCTGCTGCCCTAGGCCCAGTAATGGAAGCTAAGACCATTTCGGTGAAGAAATGTAAACAACAACTTGTAACTTTGGGATTTAATTTAGCTTCTTTGTTATTTTTTCTTCAACAGAAAGACACAAAGAATGAAAATGGGCATATTTCATAGAATCATAGAATGGTTTGGAAGGCACCTTAAAGCACATCTAGTTCCAACCCCCTGCCATGGACAGGGACACCTTCCACTAGAACAGGTTGCTCCAAGCCCCTGTGTCCAACCTGGCCTTGAACACTGCCAGGGATGGGGCAGGCACAGCTTCTCTTGGTAACTTGTGCCAGGGCCTCAGCACCCTCACAGGGAAGAACTTCTTCCTAGTATCTAATAGTTGAGGTACCTCCCAGACACTGAAAGGGTGGTCTGATTTTTTATTGTAAGGTTTGTTTTCCCCCAGGTCAAGGAAACAACCATACGTGTTTTCTCTCAAAAAGTGAAGATAAGGGGTTGACACAGCTTTCCTAGCTCTGTTGTGAAAAATCACCAAGTGGTTGCATAAAAAAAAAAAGATATATATCTATGTAAGCAACAAGTAAGATAATACTTTCGTATTATCACCGCATAGTCCAGTTCTATAAAGAACAGCCTCAGTATTTTAGCTTCCAGCAGATTTTTGCTGTTAATGTAAATACAAAGAGTTAATCCAGTTTATTCTGAATTTGCTCAAATAAGGTGTTACAGGAAAGACAAAACAGTTATTTGGGTGCTGGCGTTTAAATGCAAAAGCTGTCAGTTTCCAAGAAAATTTTACACTTCTACAATATAAGAAACCCATGCAGTGAAGCCCCGTACCATTTCAGAGGAAGAAAGGATGGCACCTCCCCATGTCAATGAGCAAAATGCTAGCAGCTAGTGAGGACAGGAGAATCCAGGAAAGGAACTGGATTCCATCAAAGTCAATCACTAGTTTTGGGACACACATGCAAGTGAGTTTGCATTAGTGTCAGCTACAAGTTAAGAATTTGCTTAGGAGCCAGGCTCCAGAGCAGCACCCACAGATGTGCTGAAAGTATCTGCAGAAAAAGCAGCAGGAGTAAATAGAAGACTTGAGCTGGAGCGTGCATGGAGGCATGGTGGAGGGTGGAATGAGAGGCAGCAGCTGAGAGCTTTAGGCAGGCACCACAGGTAACAAAATACTCCCAGCACAAACACCCATCCCACCTTCACACAGCCAGCTCTTTGGGCTAGAGGTGTGAGGAGAAAGAAGGAAAGCAATGCAAACAGAAAGCTCAAAAGCCTTCATTTCACCTTAGCGACAGCAATGGGAAAATGTCCTGCTTATGCCACAGATCATTAGAGGGACTTTTCTGCTTTGGAAGGAACAGAAGGATTGGTGAGAAAGGCACACCCAAGCTCTCCAGCAGCAAACCTTTCGTCCTTTGCACCAGAAGAACAAGATGAGCCACAAAGAGTAACGCTCAGTCAAAGCAGTGGCAGAAACCACAGTTTGCCTTGGGAAGAAAACTCCAGGTATTTATGCATTTTATAAGAAGCTGCCTTTTGACTGTTAAAGGAGTCTGGAAGCACAGCATGCCAATTGGCTGAGTACTGTGATCAAGAAGCAAGCAGACCACACAGCTGTTCTCTAGGTCTGCCTACCAAGTGTCTCAGAGCATCATAACTTGCAGTGTCGAAGATTTTAAAGGCCTCTTGTAGCTAAGTCTGCTCCCACACTGTTACTTGGAGGAGAGGACAGTAATTATAAAGGAGTTAGTCTGTTTACATACCAAGAAGCACTGTACTTGGGACATTTTCTGATCTACAGTGAATCAGCTCTGAACTACATTAATTGTACATGGGACAATCCCTCTCAGTGTAATTTGTTTTGCAAAGTTTGTTCTCCTAGCTCAGGGGTAATGGATGAGCAATAGAAGAATCCCAGCAGTGAGGCTGCCTCTGTTGAGCATTCTGTATTTAAGGTAACTCCAGTCATAGGGCTTGCTTTGGGTTTTCCACTATTAGGCTTGTGCTTCTTTCAATCTGGCTAAGCTTTCTCTATTTGGAAGATGCCCAGTGTAGAAAGAAGTTAATCCTTAGGCTTTTCCCTCTTTATAAAGTTTCAGTGAAAGCAGTTCATCTCACTAAGAAAGAACAAAAAAATACTTGTTTTGTCTGTAGAAATGAGACTAGATCACAAGCACTGAGTTGTAGCAAAGGGCTGACCTGCCATCTTGTTTTTCAAGTGGAACTTTAATTTAGGTGCCTGGGGGTGTTTGTATCAGACTCAGCCTTTTCTCAAGCTACACCAGCTGTCTGAATTACACCACTGTTTAAACCTTTGAGTAGTTACGTATGATTTGCACCAACTTAGTTCCCAAAATGCTACATCTGCATTCCTAAAAGCACGTGCACCACCCCCTGAGAGCTGGAAACTGTTCTGCCGAGATAGCCCCGTGCAGCTGCAGAAGGTATGCCTTCTGCATGAACCAGGTGGGGAAAAGAAACAGAAGTGATTGGATGGAGAGGGAGAAACAGGAGAAAAAGAAAGAGTACACTCCTCTACTGATCCTCCTGCTCCCTAAACTAAGCAGTCCTTTGCTGTCATATGAAAGACCAACCAAAATGTGCCTCCCCATGTGCAGCAACTGCTGTTACCACATTTTTTCAAGTCATGCGGAGAGACAGTAGATCAAACTGATCCTTTAAGAATACTGAAATTAAAACATATGTGTTATCCCAGGCAACCATTCTTCAGATTTAAAAACCAGATACCCTGAGGCTGTGAAGCGTCCAGAAGCAAGGAAGCATAACAGCCACTCATTCCCCTTCCTTTTTGGACAGAACACAGTCTCTTTGCAAGATCCCAAAATTCCTTTTACAGAGATGTCTTGTTTCACTCGCTGCACAGGACAGGTTGCGTTCCTGCGAGGAATGAGGATGGCATAATACAGGAGAGAGGCTTCTGCTTTGTTCCAGCTCTTGAGACAGTAAATAAGATAAGGCCTTGCAAGGGAAAGGATCATGCTGTAGACCAGGCAGGTCCAGGTACCCACTGGGACAACCAAATCCTCACCCCATCTCTGTCAGGTGCTGCACAGGCAACCCAGTAAGTTGTGGTGCTTGGCCAGTACCCAGTCTTAATTCTCTAATTCACCCCAGTTCAGGGTCTCAAAATTCTCCAGCATCTTGGTTTCAAATTCTGTACGGCCGAGGTCCATACGTAACACTGGCATGATACCCCCTGTCTTTCTAGATAGCAGATTGCAACATAAGCCAATTCAAAAAGAGGCCTAAAGCCCTCAAACAAAGTTGATTTAGTTCAGTATCAGTGAGCCTTCAGGAATCATGGAATTAGGTAACACAATGAGAACACCACAGGAAAACTGGTAAGGAAATGAATCATCTCACTGCGAGGTTTGGGTGGTTCACAAAATAAGCAGAGCTCAGGGCAACACACTGAGATAGGGACTTTGTGAAAGGGCCAGCACAGGGAAAGATGAAGAGCCCTGTGTGGACAGGGTGGCAGGCTACGTACAGTAGTGTGGCATTATACTCCTGATGGTTATTTAGCAGTGCTTGAATGTACGAGCTGGACAGCCAGAGGGTTTATATTTTAAACTGAGCGCTGGGTATCAGTTGGAGTGGAGAACACAAGACACAGCAGAACGTAGCTTCTACATGCCTGTCTGGCGAGAGGGAGAACAGCAGCCTTTTGGCTTGGGATGGACAATAAAGCAACTTATACAGCTCCTGTTTACCCAAGGTGCAGGTCACAACCTCCCACCAGGCCATCAGCACCAGCCTGTGCTCGGCCAACAGGTAAAACAAACCACATTTGCTCTGCAAGGATCGTGATCATACCTTTGTCCCCCAGAGCAGCAACCTACCAATTTTCCCC